AAGCAATTTTGCCAATGATTCAATGTTTTTTACTCGCATGATACAGTATTTGCTCCAGGATTGAATGGAAAACAAAAATGATCCCACCGCTCAAGAATGGAAAATGACCAACCAGTGGTAACCAGCGTCTTGAAACCATGCTCAATCCGCTGCCCAGACATTCTCCAATCTCAATGTGCGGAGTAACAGATTATCGATTGAGTCTAGCCTTGACACACCTGTGAGATGACCTGGCTGTCACTGCAAAGCACGACTGTAGCAACTCGGCCCGAAGATCACAGGACGGTACGGTTTGGGTCAGTGACTCCAAAGAGATCCGCCCCAAGGAGTCACTGACCTCCCTGTCTGTCCAGGTGCGCACGTGGCAGGTGCATGACATCTTCTCCGTAGAACTGAGGGTGATAGCCTGGATAGCCTGCAATCCCGAATTTCTGCTCTCCATGAGTCAAATGACTAATCAAGTGGGTGATAGTATCGCCCCAGAAATTCCCCCCTCAAAAAATGAACAACATGACACAACATGACATAACATGACGTTTCGGTCGAGATCAAATCTGAACATGCTGAGAAAATCAAATCAAGCTTTCATCAGATTTGACTAAGATACTAAGGACACAGAAACCAGTTCAAAGAATTTGCAGCTTGGTGATCATGTTTTAAGCATTTGACAATGGAGGGACCATCATGGGATCGGCGTTGGAAATCATCCCCGCTGAACTCATCTCTTGGGCGATTTTCGCTTCGCTAAGCTCCGCGGTCCGGCTGGGCCGCCCGGCCCTGGAAATCGCTTGTCCACCAATTGCAGGAGTCGGGGCGCCAAGATCTGCGGCCCCAGGGGATGCCCTGAACTGGTTATGACGTGAAGCCAGCAGGTTTTTCTTGGGCTCAGGTTGAGCAAGTATGGCTCGAGAACAGGCCGCCGTGTGTGACTCAGGATTGCCCAACTCAACTCAGTTATACCATTTGATATATCCCCAATGTTAGCAGATATACCAGCACCATGGATCCTATGGGAAATGGATGATCAAATGGCAACCAATAATCCGACATGGATACTTTAGCAACTCCACAGCATTCTCAATTTCATGGCTTCATTGGCATCCCAATTTTCTGCCAGAGATTCACAGCACGCCTTCCACCAATGGGAGTTCAGCTGCTCCAACTTCACCTGAGACTTCCCATCTCTAAATCTATGTCTGTGGGATCATTGTCCCCCATAGAGTTGATGATCCTCAAAAAAGTTTCTTGAAATCCCCAGATCATCATGTTTTTTTAAATCCGAGAACCTATTCCATTGTATTCCCATGTTTGATGATCACTTGGATTTGCTGATTCGGGGTCCCCAACAATAAACCTAATATTCACTAAATATACCCTCTGGTGAACTAACATAGCAATGGAAAATCACCATTCTTAATGGGAAAATCCACTATAAATAGCCATTTTCCATTGCTATGTTAGTTCACCAGAGGGTAGATTCCCCAGTCATAACGGATTTTCCATTGGGAACATGTCCACCACATCAAAACACACCCAGGATTACTGGTTTCATCCCTATTTGTCATGACATCATGACATACCCTCTGGTAAACTAACATAGCTATGGAAAATGGATGAAAATGGCCCATAGAAATAGATGGTTTACCTATGAAAAAAATGGTGGATCTTTCTGTAGCTATGTTAAATTACCAGAGGGTACATCCCCCGTCTCAACATGTTTCAGGCCCCAATCCCTGACAGACCCTGAGGTCCTAGGGATCCTAGGCTCCCAAACGTGATGAAGGTCCACCACCACAGAGATTTTGGATGCCTGGCATCATGGCATCCCATCATGTTTTTGTGCCCGGTGTTTAAAAGCTATGTGTTGTGGTTGATGCCTTAACATGCCTTAACCCCAAAAAGAAGAGTTTTCACAGGTTTTTTTTTGATTGTGTAGAAAAAGTGTTTCTCTCATCATGCGGAGGTTTACATTTATTTTGGGGTTTGTATATAGGTATGTGAAAGGTTTAGAAAGGTTGATGGTTCATAATTCATAGTAAAGCCTTAGTGACTGAGATCCTGCCGTCGGAAGCCAGGAGCCCGTTTCCTTGGGGCCAGTCTTGGTCATGAAGATCGCGGACTCAACCGATCAGCTTTCCATGTCATTCCATCATGTTTAACCACCCCAAAGTGACGGACACATCACCCCAAAGATGGGAACACCAGCCTGACGACCAATCTTAAAAATGATGATGGTGATGATGATGATGATGATAATGCTTGATTTTCTTTTGATGAACCGTTAACCGCCAGCTTGTGTTGGGCCATCATATGTCGTAGCTAAGGGGCTATGGACAAACATGGGAAGTGTCATTGTTCAACAAATTGTCTGCGGAAAAAATGTCTGCCACAAGGCTCCTTGGAGCGAGTTGACACTTCTGGGTATCTCTCGCGAACCTTTGGCAGAAAGCTGGCGCAGGTCATGCATGGTCTCTCTCCGTTGACGTCGTGAGCCAAAAGAGGCTCCGGCAGGCACAACTCTCTGCGGGTTGAGGTTGACACGGATCGAACGCGCGTCCGTAGGTGGTTCTTCCGAGAGCAGGTGGCCATGGCTCACTGGGCACAGCCAGTCCCCCAGCTCTTGGTCGGAGCTGCGGGTGAGAAGACCGGTAACGTGACGCCAGAGGTCGCTTAAATGCGGACTCATGGGGGTCTCAACCAGCAATACATGGGCAACCATGGTGTTTAAGCGAACAAAATCAATGTGAATATCTAACAGCCAAAGCTATCCCATATGCGAACCATGGTGCTGGAATATGCACACCAACATTTGCCCGAACAAAAACATCCAGTTTTGTAGGTAAATATACCAGCACCATGGTTTGCATATGGGTCATCAAATCCCAATGGTTCATCATGAATCCCAAAATATCCGAATAAATCCCAATAAATCATCATTTTCCCATAGATGTTCCCATCAAATCCACCATTTTTCCCATGGTTTATTCCCTTAAACCAATCCATTTCTGGTTTTGAAGTCTCCATGGCTCAGCGTCACATCTCGTTTCCAGAAGTCAACCACCGACACATGCCGGATAGCACATACGTTGCATGATGCTGCATGATACTTGATACTTTCCCACTTGATCCCATTTATCCACAACAATCCTGAGCATATCCCCAATATATCCCTATTGGCAGTCAAGATAAATTACTAATTTCCAGATTAGAACTTCATTTTCCCTATTGAAGTTCCATACATGAAGGTAAATCCCCCACTTTCAGGCACACCCATGTGTGACTATAAGATCAATAAGCATCAAATCATTGAAATCATCCGCCGAAAGTCATCCAGATTCTCCATGTTTCCACCGCACAAAAGGTAAATCAGTATTCGTTCCAGCTCAATCCCCATGTCTTGTGGTTTAAACCTTTTAAAAAAAGTGTTTCTCTCTAAAACATGCCATTTTTTGTTCAGGGTTTGTTTCCAAAAACTTTGGTCATTTACGCTAACTGGTTGGTGGTTTCAATCCCTCCCAAAAATGATGGAGTTCGTCAGTTGGGATGATTATTCCATTCCCAACTGAATGGCAAGTCATAAAATTCCATGGTTCCAGTCACCACCAACCAGCTACTTTACACCCCACTTTCAGGCCATCTAAACACATGGGAAGCCGGCAGCCTGCGGCTGCAGCTCCGAAAGCTTCTCTTCACAGATGAAGAGCAGGTCCTGACGGCGCGGCCATTCGGGTAAAAACGCACGTAACAAATATGAATATGTAAAGACATATCTGGTTATCTGTATGATTTATGTTTACCTATGATTATTTATCTATCATTATTTATCTATCATTATCTATCTACCTATCTACCTACCTATGTCCCCAGGATCCCCCTCGGTGGCCCGACTCGTCTTGTGCAGCCTGAAAGCTCCAAACCTACAAGTCACAACTGGGGATGCTTCGCAGGCGAAAAATTTTACTACATGAACACACACACACATATATATATATATATATCGCATCCGTAGTCATCCTCAAAAAAAGAACATGGAAGTTTCAAGAACATCCTCACCAACATGTGAATACAAAACGTTGAAGAATATCTGTACAAATATACTGGTTGGTGGTTTTAACAACCTTGAATAATATGAAAGTCAATGGGAAGGATTATCCATTCATATTATGGAAAATAAAATTCATGTTTGAAACCACCAACCAGCTATGGAAATACCATAGATATCTATGGAAAATGGGCATATTTCATCATATTTCCATACACAAATGTAGGTAAATATACCATACAGCATGGAGCATATGGGTATATATATATATATATGCACACAGTAGTTCACCGACCTGAACAAGTTTACCAATGACATCATGGTAGGTCGGATGCTTTCTTCCGCCATGAGCTGCAGGTCGTCGTTTGAAACAATGGGGATAGCCTCTGATATACAAAAAGCTATTGAAAATGACCATTTATGGTGGATTTACCCATTGATAGCATGGTGATTTTCCATAGTTATGTAAACGTTTACCAGAGGGTATGTATTCTGCAACCAGAAAAAATGACTTGTAGGGTAGTTACCAACAGTAAGGGGATATAACGACGATAGATAAACGATGATAAATGGTCATGGTATACCTACCCCTCTGAAAAATGATGGTTCGTGAGTTCGTCAGTTGCGAAAATAACATAATCATGTTCCAAACCACCAGACATAGCTTGAACTTTACCCCTCCATGTAGCTCTCTGCCATGACTTCTCTCACCTCAGTCCGGAAAGCGCGCTGCAAGGCATTGGCATCTGTTGGGTTACCGTTCGGTACCGTTCCATGACTGGGATTCTGGGGCAAATCTTCGCAATGACGGAAGACATACTTGAAGACATGTTTCAAATACCAAGCATCTTATCATAGTATTCCATATCATTCCATAATATTCCATGTTATTCCACATTATTCTGTATGATTCCACAATATTCCATATGATTCCATATCTTCCATCTGAACGCTCCCATTTCATCGCTTGCTGCCTCAAGGGTTTCAATGAAGCCTTTGCGAAAAACAAACGCATCCCAATTATCTCCGCATCTTTGGCGGTACAAATCTAAAGCTGATCAGGAGAGAGGCATTCCGAGGGTTTCTTCAATCATGACTTTGGCTTCCACCACATCTTTGTCAATGGCATATGCTACCAGCTGCAGTACAAAGGTTTGGCAGTTGTTGCTGAAGAGACGGTACCTCTCAACGTCAAAGGTGTTGGCCCATCTCTTAAGGTCGACTCTGCTTTTGAAGCATTGGTGGTTGCCTCTCAAGCGGATCCATCCTCGTTGCTCAAGGGCCCAAATATTAGACGTCTCGTTGGAAAATAATCTCAACATGAACCAACTTAGTAGCCAAAGGTTTCTGGGAGGTTCTGTATTTTGATGTATTTTGTGTATTGTCAGGGGGATTCAAGAATCACCCAAAGCAAACCCAAGCATCTGGTGTAGGGCGAATCATCCAACGTCTCCTCTGCGTGCACTTCAAAGTGCCACTTCTTCTTCTTACTGCGAGAACCAGACCGGCGAGAAGCGCTGTCAGAACCAGAGAGTCCCATGCGCATGCCGGGGACGCTGATTTCCTGAGCTCCGGAAAAACAACACCATGGGAATTCCCGGCAGAGTCTGCACTGGTTTTATTTTCTAAGGGATTTCCCTTAGGGAAAGCAACACGCCTCTAAGATAGCTCAAAGCCAAGTTTCATAGACATAGCCATTGATCAGCACAGCCAGATGGTATGCTGGGATCGAACCCAGAAGCCGTCCCCAAAAGCCCCGGAAAGGGGTGGTGTAGGCTAGCCAAACGCCCTGTTCATAATGTTCTTCATCACGCCCGCGGTTGTAGTCCTCAACAAAGGACTGAATGGAGTCGTAGACGAAGGAAGCTCCATCGAGAAAGGGTAGTGCCATCGGAAGCAAGCCACTCTAAGAAACAAAGCCCAGAAAGCTACTCGGCAAGAAAATTGGTTTGTCTGAATATCTCAAGAATAGGATATATCCCAAAATAGCTCATGGTTTATCATCATTTTTCCACATTTTTCCCATTCAAGTGTCTTCGGGGCATCCCCCCGTTTTCAGACACACCCAATTTTATGATCATGGCGTGGTCTCCGGCTGGGTAACTGAGGTGCCGTGCCCACCTTTCATTGGGGAGTATTTTCATAGTATAGCAATCTTTATTATATAACTTGAGATATGCAAATGCCCCAAACAAGGCTCTGTTTAGTGGCACGTCAACTATAATGCTCCCCCATAAGAAGGACAATCGAAGAAACTAGGTCAAAACCTAACATGGATTTAACCAAAAAAACAACGTTTCCCCATGTTTCCCCAAATTGATCTCAAAACAATGGACTCTCATGAGTTTTCCATATCCTTCCATATCTATGTTAATTCCTGCCGGAAATAACCATCGCTCATCACCCTCTCCCAGCTGAGCCTCGCACGTTAAAAAACATCCCGAAGAGGTCGTAGAAGGAGGGGAAGCACAGGAGGCACATCTATTACTTAACATAGACCCAGAAAATAACCCATGTTTTGGTGAAAACTAATTTTCCAACATCTTCAAACCCCTTATCTGCCAGGGTCTATGTTAATTTACTGGAGAGTATATAACGGGATATGAAGGGGATTTGATAGGAGTATATTGGGACGATTATGGGAGATACCCTCTGGTAACTCTAGTAATCAAACATGACTGCTGGAAAATCCATTATTTCTAGATGACTTTCCCTGCTGTAAACCTCTATTTATAGGGGATGTTCCATTGCCCCGCTTGATTACCAGAGGGTACCCCTATCTTGGAAAGTTCATTGAGAGAACATGTTTTTGGTTCAACCATATTTTTTTCCTGATTGTTTTTTGGATGTTCTATTTTCAAACAAACCCTAATAGGGTTTAATCAACGGGACCAAAAAAAAAATAAGGCAGAAACGCAGCCACCAAACTGGGGTACGGCCTTCAGGGATCAGACTGTTAGTCTAAAAACATGTTCAGAAAATGTGTAAAGCCCTTCCAATATATACTCTCTGGTTATGACTAACAGTTTGCCATGGTATAGATGGCCCATAGAAATAGATGGTTTACCGTTCTTGAAAATGGTGGATCTGTCCATGGCTATGTTAGTCATAACCAGAGGGTGTATATATATATATAACCCCTATATTTAATGGTAAAACCATGGTTTCCGGTTAAGATTTCCCCTTACCAATCCATTGGTATACATACATATATGGGTTGATCATCATATGATCGATGGTTATGATCTATAGATAATCTATTATAAACTTAAATGTCTGAAATCTATGTGTTTCTGCCTGGAAAAAAACATATGCCCTTGGAGGCATTCTAACTGTTGATTGCCGAATAGCTTCATCCTAGGTGGGGGGACGCATTCTAAGTTCCGAAATGCTGGTAAAATGCAATCCAAATGCGCATTCTAAGTTTCAGTCCGTCAATATATATATATATATAAACCCTTTAAAAATATGAATCCTTTTGGCCAAGTATCTTAGATCCTGAAGGTCTCAGCATACATACTTTTTGCCCCTTGGGGCCGGACTCAGCAAATCAAAACTCCCCAGGTGGAAGAATAGGACCTGAAACAGCCCCTGTTCCACGATTGGCAACTCATCCCATTGGAAGATGGGAAAAAAAAAACGTAAAAAAACATTCTACATGGTCGCATGTGGTCGTGAATTCCCCTATGAAACATCATGAAAAACCATGGCTTTCTGTCTGGGAGTTTTTTGAAACGGGGGAAGGGATTACCATCCGGTAAATTTAAGGATAGCAGGATAGCAGGAAGTCCATGAGAAACCCAAGGCCCAAGGAATGTGATCTACATTCATGCTGGGGTTTTCAATTTACTGGAGAGTAGTACCCTCTGGCAATTTAACATAGCTATGGAAAATTGCCCATTTACAGATGATTTTCCCAGCTAGAAACCTCCATTTATATCATTTAGAATGGATTTTCCATAGCTATGTTAAATTACCAGAGGGGAATCATTGGAATTTCCTGTTGACTCTTCCACTACTTGGGAATGCAATGATTGTGACGTCCAATCTTGGGAAGATCAATGCTGGTGCATTTCCATGGCATCCCCAAATGATTGGGATGGGAACTGCTGAGTACCCCCCTAGAAATGTAGACATAGAACCCGGAAGACAGCTTTCGAACAGGATTTTGCTGGATTATTGCCCCTGTGGGATTCCATCTTAAGATTTTCACACGCAAAATTTGCGGGATTGCCCGTCACTCGCAACAGGGACCTCTCACAAAACCCAAGAGACGCATCAATGAGTAGTGGAAATCTCATCTTGACACCGCGCACAAATGACGGCATGACTGCAGCTGGGAACCAGCTGCTCTAGATACAATAAACGCCATAGAGTGATGATACTGATGATGCAACGATAGAAAAGTAAGATCCTACTAAAATAGTGGTGGTTATCGCCATTGTATCCCACATATATCACCATTCATCAAGGATTTCCCATCATATCACCAGTAAATCCGCACTATTTTCAGTCGTACACCAAGATATACCAATTAATATCCCCCTGATATACCATGATCCCAATTATATCCCAATTATATCCTAATGTGTCCTGCTGAAACCCACATGGTTTTGGATTTGCTTATCCGGAACCACCCAAAACATCGTGACATAGTCCCTTAGTCGATTCCCGAGTCCTGGCGTAAGCGTCGCTTCAAGATGCAAATTCATGGTCAACCCTCTGCTTTGATGGTGAATTACCATAAGTCATTACACTGAACGTCAGATCTGTTAAGCAAAGGGTAACCATGTCTGGTTGGTGGTTGACCTACCCCTCTGAAAAATGATGGAGTTCGTCAATGGGGTTGGGATTATCATGATTATCCCATATATGAAATGGAAAATAAAATTCATGTTCCAAACCACCAACCAGATATGAATGATGAAAATATATGCGTGAATAATCGTTCATCCCTTGCCTCTGAAAAAAACCCTCAGACCCTGGTGGAATGTATTGGAATGTTCAGCGTTTCATGGTTCATTACCCTCTGCTGAAAAAAAGTTTGCGACCTCGGAAGGTCGTCCTGGACCCGGACCACGTTTCGTTGCCGAAGGGCACATCGTCCATTCTCTTCCAGCCACGAGACGGGCAACCAATTCGTCAAGGTCTGCGGCTTGGCGATCAGTGCAGGGGATACCCTCGGGTAATTTAACATAGCTATTGAAAATGGCCCATTTATAGTGGATTTACCCATTGAAAATGGTGATTTTCCATAGTTATGTTAGTTTACCAGAGGGTACCATGACGAAACCATCTTCTGTAAAGAATGCTGGTTGGTGGTAAACTAACCATCTTGAAACATATGAGTCAATGGGGTTGGGATTATCCCAAAAAATATGGAAAATAAAAAATGTTTGAAACCACCAACCAGAATGGTTATAATAATAATGGTTATAGTAAACAATGGTTATAATAAATAATGATAATAATAAACAATGGTTATAGTAATAATGGTTATTATACTACATAAGGTAGTATATACAATGGTTATAAGAGTTATATCCATAACTATGGTTCTTATACGCAAAAATAAACACTGGTTATCGTAATTTATTTCATTTTTGAGCCAGAGTTATAGATATAGCCATGGTGGGTAAAACAATGTCATAAACCATCCCCCAGTCATCACCATAAATAGGTGGTATAATATAGTATAAACCATTCCCAAATGGGTGGTTTATGACCTTGTTTAATCCATATTAATGATATTCATAAGTATATAAATGATAGTAAATGGCCATCTAATATACGGTCATACATGTAATAAGCAAATGACAATTTATAACATTTTATAACATCACTGCCTTTTTTGTCATAGTCATGTTTTCAAAATACCAATAGAACATCATTTTTTAGTGGTTTCCCAATATCTGCAATGATATTCGCAAATGGCCATTTAACATCACTGCCTTTGCTTTTAGTCATAGGCATTTGCTTTAATCAAAAGACCCACATGTAAATGATGAAATGGCCGTCTCATATCATTTGCTGGAAGTGACTTGATAGGCACAACTAGGTATTTTTACACCTCATGTTCGATATTGAGATTAACCTGCCTAATATTAACTGCAACATTGAGGATGTCGTGTTGTCGAATTCAAAGTTTCCAGGATTTTTTAGGGTTTAGGGTTCGTCGCCTGGGGAAATCTCAAAACACTGGACCCTCGGTGAGCAGAAGGTCACCTATCTTCCTCGATTTCAGCCATAGAAATGTTGTGGAGAAGCCGCAGCTCGTTGCGGACCTTGTCTTTGAGTTCAACGTTCCGCTTCCTCTCTTCGTGCAGTGTTGCGTTCTCGTGGCCGTCTTCGTCTCCCTGAAGAAACTTACGAAACTTCCTTGGCTTTGAAGCTTCGCAAAGCATAGGGTCTTGCCGTAATAGTAGTAGTTCTTGATAGGTTGACATAACAGCAATGCTCTCCTAAAACTATCTTTTTTTTCTCTCCCTCTCTCTCTCTCGCTGCAGCGCCATCAAAGGCTCCAATAACTGTTGTAAATTGTCACATATATGGTCTGTCTGAAAATGGGATGACTAGTTAGTCGGGAATATGATGAATAGTCAGTGGATTTAGGGACACTCCTATTTTCAGAGAAACCAATCTCTCGAGCGTTTAGCAATGAAGCGCTTTGAGAAAAATAAGAGATACAAGAGGTGGGTTTGTCACCGTTTCCTGGGTTCTTCCATTTACAACCGAATCACCTGGGTGATTTTTCTGGTTATTGCCCCACTTGCTAATTACGTACAACCATATATAACCATATATAACTTTTATAACCATATATAACCATATGTAACCTCTTAATACACCTCACTTTTTTCACCAACTCGGGTTGGTCAAACATGGCCATCTCCCAGCC